TCCCCATGATCCATCTTGGTCAGAATCTTCTCCCGATGTTCTTCCATCCCTGGGAAGGGCAGATCCACACTGACGAAGGCCGAGGTATTGTTAACCATGGTCTCGCTTGAATCGGAACTGACGCCGTCGATAGTATCCGTAGCAATGACACCAGTGGCCGCAATGCGGTTATTAGCACGGTTGACACGATGCTGGTAGATATAGTCGGTCCATATTTTCCCGAAAAATCTGGATTTCCTCTTGGGAGATGGTGGAGGTGTGGGAGTGGTTGTGGGTACAGGTTTTGCAGTTTTGCGGATAGTAACATTCCTCCCGACATCCAAGGTAACCTTGTAAGTTGCCTTTATGTGGATTCCCGCGGGTATAAAATCTTTATCGTTCCTACCGGGATCTAATGGAAATTCAACAGCTTCGTGATGCGGCATAAACACAGTCATGCCGCTATTATCAGCATTATCTGGTTTGGGGTCTCGTACGAGAATTCCTTGTTCCATTGAACCGTATACTGCACACGCGGATTTGTTCTTGTTATCACTGTCTTTTACCCAAAACAGTGACGGCATCACCCCAATCTCGTTGTTTGCCATCATGCAGTCGAAATCAACTGTACGTGGGATAGTGCTCAACTCCGTCATGAACGCTTCACGCCTCCGGTGCCTTGTGTAATATGTGGGACTCGGATATAGCTCCTCGAAATCAACCTTACCCTCTGCATTTTTGTAGAGGGAAACGGTATCAAAATCAATTTCGCTTTCTGGGTCAATATCCCATTCTTTCCCCGAACGCCATTCAGTGATTGTTGATGGCTTATGAGGAGAAGCTCGGGCAGTGATGTCCCAGGTTACCATGCTAACTTGTTCGTCTGGCCCCGTGATACCCGGGATATATAAATCCCCCGTCATGCGAATCCTTACAACGTCCTCATCGGGGTCCCTTGTAAAAGATCCTAATGGTCCCATCTTTGGTCCTTTCAGCTCCTTGACTGTGGTTCCTGGATCAAAGTTGATCCAAAATGATGAATTCAGTGTGCTACCATTCAGCTCGCCGGCGTGACGACCAAGACTGCGCAAAGTAATGCGTTTAATGACAGTGCATGGTGACCATGATTTGTTGGAAGGATCATATTGTGGGACTGCATGTACCTCCACCACAGGTCGTCGTTCAGCACTTGGTGGCAGGAATCCCAGGTAAAAAACTTTCCCGCGAGTATCTGCTGCAATTGAAAAGGTACTTAGTGGCGGATAAAGCGACTTTTTTTTTATGGTAAAATGGTGTCCATCGTGTTTCCCATCTGACCTGTTTCCACATCCTTTCAAAGTATCTTTAATCTTTTTTGGGGGATGATCCGCAGTTGGGTAGATATACCCTTCCAACCTCTGTTCTACCAAGTCGAACTCTGCTAACGCATAAAATTCGTTTACAACGATCATCCAGATGAACGAGTCGCGTTCAAACCAAGATGCTATCAACCTTCCACGATCTTCCTTTTTTGTTGAAAACACAGCACAAGCTGAGTGGGGATGTTCGAAGAATTGACGGGGTGGAATAGTTGTGCGAGGAGGAGGATTTCTATCAAAAGGTCAGTATATCTCAGTAGAAAGGTAGAAAGGCCAATGATAATAACATATAGGATCACGTGGAAACACATACGTCCAATTCCAAATTGAGGAAAATATTGATGTAGTCTTTCCGGGTGGGCTTTGAAACCCTTCACTTCTCGACGGATGGATGTGAGCTTCACCAACACATAATAGCATCCCCCGATTCGCTGCTATTCGTACACTCTCGCCGTCTTTTAAAAACATGCCCTCGTTGCGTGCGCCCATACATGGGCTGGCTAACTTCTCAAGGTCGATTATAACGTCCGTGCTGTCGTCGGTACATTGCAAGTCCTTAAGGACCACTATCGCACGAGCTCTTGGAAGCAACAAACGTAAGAACCATGGCCAGTATTTATCCGAAAACAGATAGGAGAATAGAGTAAAGTAATACCGTTGATAGGCTAACAAGCTATTTTCGGTATCCACTAGAAATCCGTTCGATAAACTCGCAGACCCATCTGCGACCTCGTTGATAATCGTTATATTAGACGGACGGCCTTCTTTCCATCTTTGAGACCTCTCATAGGCGCAATCAAAGTCATATCTGGTGCGCTGTGCCCTTTTCGATTCGCTCGATAGCGGGAAAAATAACTTGTGGGCGAAGTGAGAGATATCCTGTGATGCGAAGTATCGGTAAAAATCTCTTGATGTATGGCGCAGGGCTATAAAGTCATGCGACGACAACAGTTCTAATATTAGTCTGTTTATTTCAGGGGGAATCGTTATCAACGAATGTTTTTCTGCCATTTCAATCTTGACAATAGACTGCGACGAAACTTTGGTAGGAGTATCAGCAAAATTGTGGCCTTATTGACGAGGGAGAGGTACCGAATTAAAGGAAAATATGGATGAGTAGGATAAGGAGGGAGGTAAAGGGAAGATAGAAAGTAGATGGGGCGGGGTTCTGCACTAGAAAGTGACTCTCTTACAATGAAAAAAGTCAGGAGCTGTATGGACTCACGAGCTCAGGTACAGTTACACACTGCCCTGTTTCTGCAGCTTAGTTGTCTGTGTGTGCGGCTGAGCTCCTTAAACAAAAGCCAAGCCTGAGCAACCTGTCTGGATGGGTAGACAAGACGCAAACTCTCAAATGCGGATGATCTTCACAAGGATCGAACAGATGCAAGGGACCGTGGCTAATGTCCAAGTTTGGAGCCTTGAGATTCTGAATCCCCAGTGTGTGGTGTCACAGTTTTCACTACCAGCGGATCTTAGATCCACTAGATCTACTGTGATGATGATTGAAAGTTGTTCAGATTAGGAGATATCACCTAGATAGCCCCGGGAGGTTTGGGGGGTTAAAGTGACATCAAGCCGTGGTCAGCTTTATTTCAGGATGTAGGTATACGTCGATATTTATAACTTAGAGTATTATATATAGTAAGCCCAAATAACACAATACAATTGTTAATTTGAGCTCCATCTTGCAAAAAATGATAATTAATACAAGTATTCTTGACCCGAGTATAAAATTCACTCCAAGGCATTACTATACAGATTTGGGGCTCAGTAGGATAGATCCGATCGAAACCATAGTTTTGAAAGAGGAATTACTATGCATCAGCATTTCTATTCCGGGTAATGGAATATCAAACGGTCAGTACTGCTTCCCCCTGAAATCTCCACAATTGTCATGTGCGGTATTATGCAAGCCCTCGTTCAAGTTCGCACATTTCTGCAAGACCTAAGATATATTTATATTGTAACAGGCCAATGACCTGTCTTACCGGTTGTGAGCTCAGTAGCAAGTCTTGGCACGTCTCTACGAAATAAGCTTTTTGGCCTGTGTCCTTACTCGGGCACGTGGTTAGACTAAAACTTAACGGCTGACATCTGTTCCTATCAGTAGCCGCATTTGATATCACATCGTATTCCTCGTGAGTGCTGAACTGGTAACTACTATCAGTACTAATTCTTTAAAGCCACATGTATTCGGCATACCTCATCTTAATTAGCATGACCACGATATACGCGCGAGTATACGAGGACGAAAGCCTCAAAATTTGAACCGTGAGACTCATGGAATTTTTTTCCCTATGCAGCATTTCCCACAGATGACTCAAACACTAGGGGTCAATGTCTCATCAGTTGAAACTGCGAGACGTCATTAAGTCATTAATACGAAGAACTGATACAGCCATGTAGTAGAATGACTGAAAACGAAACTAAACTAGCCGTTCATGATCAACGCTCGCGCGTATGTATGTACTCTCAAAGTAAACCCCTTAAATTCGGCCACGCTATCTGGTCTCCAGGGTCCTATCGTAGTCCCTGAACAATTATCTCAGGGTCCAACGTCGCTTGGGTCGCCAAGAGGCTGACGTGTTAGAAGTACATTCCAGGTACGGTGAGATTGAGGCAATGTTTGCGAGGAGTTCAATACATGTATGCACCTTAATTCACCGGTTAGCAGGCTGATATCACAGATGCCACTAGGTTAGGCCGCGATCAATAATTCGAAGGTGTAGATATGTGAGGGTTTTGAGCCTCAAATAAAGGAGGCTGACATGCACGTATATTATGGAGGCTGTATGTAGGCAAAAATCATACTAACCCAAGGTTACTAGGACATGGAGTACTTAATCGCACTGCCACAAGACGTGGTATTCGTCAATTTCATAGTCAACGGGTCGGGGGCATCAAGGTTTATACATGTATGTTTGTGCTTGTAGAAAGTCATGTTGATACATGTATCCACTAAGGGCGGTCAACCTTAAAATTACATGTAGTTGTACATGTCTTCGATTTACCGAACGGAGACTATTGCGCACAAAAGTTATGTAATATATCCCGTCAGGGGCTATACCTAGATCTAGTTTTGCAGCTACAATGCCCTAGGAGTTTCAGGCACCACTTCTTAGTGGTTTTAGATATATGCCGGAACTTGGATATAAGATTTTGTCCGAACAGATCTGTACTCTAGATCAAGTAGGTATATGTCTACGTAGCTACGTTGATGTTAATCTCTCAAAGAATAACAAATGAAATGGTAGTTTGCGCTAGGTGTAGTAGTAGATGTCCTACCGTATGAAATAGGAAGATCTAATAGACACCATGATCATGATCAGGGCGCACATAGTTTCCGAGGAGGAGTGGAATTACATGTATGTAGCTATCATCGAAAACTCGCTTATCAGTTGAGATCGGCCATTCGGGTTCACGCGGATGACGCATGCAAGGGACCGTGAGGATACTTGATGTTTAACATGCAGGGTTTATTTAAGTACACACATAGGAAGCATCACGCTCACGGGACGCTTTCTCCGCTTTCACTTTTTTGCGAACTGTCTTGTATCTTACTTGATATGATTCTCCACAACCCCTCTTCATCCTTTGCATCCTCTGTTCTTTACCCATTTATCTACCTGCTCCCTTGAACTCGCTGTGTGTCTTCTCGTCATGCCTTCTATAATTCAGTCTATGAAATACAACTGGAGAACCCTCCTCAATGACCCTTTTGGAGAGATTGCTGGGTCGTTGGGTGATCTGGGTACTCTCATTCCTGTGATGACAGCTCTTACAGCGTCCGGAAACATCTCTTTAACGTCCACATTGCTATTCTCTGGGATTTCTAATATCGTCAGCGGTGCCTTTTTTGGGGTACCGCTAGTGGTGTGATACCCATCTCCAGAAAGAATTGGTTTACGATAATATAATATTAACTGAGGATTTAACTGTACCAGGTTCAACCTATGAGCGCTATAGCATCGATCTCGCTCTCTCGTGGATTGAAACGCGAAGAGACTATGGCAGCTGGGCTTGGTGTAGCTACCGTTGTTCTTTTGCTTTCCATTACAGGCGGACTCAGCAGGGTGTCCAGTACAATCCCTACGCCTATAATAAAAGGGATTCAAGTTGGTGCAGGGCTTTCGCTTTGCTTAAATGCAGGGTCTCTATTAGCAGGTCTGGATTATGATTCCAATCAGTGGGACGACAACCTTTTATGGACCGCAGGTGCATTTATACTCCTATATGGAACTTCACGAATGCCTCGGTTCCCCGTAGCCTTAGTTCTCTTCTTTGTGGGTATCGTACTCGCTCTCATTAAGCTCATCTCGGATGAAGGAAAACTGCCTGAGTTTGGGATGTGGTGGCCTTTCATACCACTTATACCACGGCCACAAGATTTTACGAATGGATTCGGAGCCGCTGGGGTTGGGCAAATTCCGTTGACCATTTTGAACTCTATCATTGCGGTCAAATATCTGAGTGAAGATTTACTGCCGAATCGACCGGCACCTTCAATTACAGGTTTGGGTATTTCGGTCGGCCTAATGAATCTTACAGGGTGTTGGTTTGGGGCCATGCCTGTCTGCCACGGTGAATACCTCCCATGGTGTAATGTTTGCGTTCTATCAACTGACTTTTTGTCAATCAGGGTCTGGTGGTTTAGCAGCTCAGTATAGATTTGGAGCTCGCTCTGGAGCAAGTGTCATAGTCTTTGGCCTATTTAAGATAGGTTTTGGCATTATGTTCGGGAACTCATTAACGGAACTGCTCCAAAAGTTTCCCAAATGTATTCTGGGAGTCATGGTATTTACCTAACCCTATTTCTATTTCGAGCAGCGAGATCAACTAAATAATGCCTAGGTATTTGCGGCGGGAATGGAACTTGTCTCGGTCGCTGAGAACCTGAATGTATCCGCCAGAGATTTAATAACTCATGCTCCAAGTGCTTCCATAACACCATCAGCAACAACCGCGCCATCCTCCACAATATCATCCTGGAGAGGGCTGACGGAACGAGACAAGAAGGAAAGGTTTTTGATTATGACAGTTACTGCTGCTGCAATGATTGCACTCCAAAACGCATTCGTTGGCTTCGCGGCAGGTTTTCTAGTCTGGGCTTTGATCAGGTTGCAGGATAAAGTTGAAGATTTAAGGCCAAGTCGAATCGGGAGCATGATGGATGAAAACACACCACTTTTGAGGAATTGACTAGCCGTCATTTTTAACTACCCGCGAGGGATAGTCAGGGACAATATGGATGGGGTAGGTTACGACCACTAGGTCAAGGCCTCTTTTTAGATGTCACTTCCTAACCCTGAAACTCATGTTAGCATTAGTGAGTCTGGCATTGGTAATGATTGTTCTGCAGCCAACCATTAATACTTTAATAAATTATATGTTTAGAGAAATTGAGAATCTTCCGGATTAGTACTTTAGATAGGATGAAGCTCGTAAACAGTAGATCCTATGATAATCACATGCATGCTCTTGGTCCAAATTCCATCTGTGGTGTTTGTCACGTGGTGGCGAAGGGCGGGGTGTTGCTAGAGCAACGGACAGGGGGTTTGTAAACATTCACCTCATTTTCTGCAGCTGAATCACCACTTCGTTCCAGACGATGTAGGCTCGAAAAATCACACTTGACTACTTACACCTACCAGTATCAGCTCTCAACAGAACCAACCGCCCGATAACAAAACCTCCTTAATCAATCAGTATTATTTTCTAAAGTAATGTCAGCAGAAAAACCAATCAAGAAGTCTGGCGGCAAGCCGAAGGATAAGGATGCAGATAAGACGCATAAGCTTTCGCTGAAAGGTAGCTACCCTCGCCTCCGTCATTTTTATACCGGGTAAGGTTCTGACTGGTGTTTCTGGCTATAGGTTCAGCAAAGATGGTTGCGGAATTCGTAAGAACTCACTTTTATGCTGCTATTCAAGAGCTCCAAAGTATTGACACTGTCATAGTTTGAATCCTCGATTCATTCAATCTTGTACCAGCGCGGCGTATATCCTACGGAGGACTTTACAGTGTACGTTTCTTGTTGTTCCTACCAATGATGCAGCACTTATTAATAACTGTACAGAGTCAAGAAATACGGATTAAATATGCTTTGTAGGAACCTACCAGCTCCACCCACCACTGTTGGGCTCCACTAACAAACTGAAAGTCTCCTCCGATGACCAGGTCAAAGCGTACATTAAAAAGATGATGAGTCAGCTAAACAAGTGGACCCTTGCCGGGAAGGTCTCGAAACTAGTGGTCGTTATAACCTCAAAAGACACCGGCGAGAACCTTGAGAGGTGGCAGTTTGACGTGCAGCTTATGGGAAAGGCGGCGAAAGCCAAGGGTGGAGCTCCAGAGATTGATCAAGAGAACCCCGAGCCTAGGTATATCACTACTTCACCTAACTATTGTGTTTAATTGAGTGCTGACTATGTTGGAAAAGCAACCCCCGACCACCGCCGAAAGAGAAGACGGAGAAGGAAATCCAGGAGGAAATCAGATCGCTATTCCGCCAAATCACGGCATCAGTTACGTTCCTGCCCATGTTGGATGGAAGGTGCACGTTCAATGTGCTTGTGTATGCAGATGGGGATGCGGAGGTGCCCATGGACTGGGGCGATTCGGACGCGAAGGAGATTGAAGGTGGCGAGAAGGTTACTCTGAGGAGTTGGGGTACGGCGAACCATAGGGTGGACACGCTTGTTAGTTACAAATTGCAGGACTGACTGGAGTGCTTTTTTTTGTTTTCTTTATTTGTCCCTGGATTTTTTATATATATATTTTTTTTACTCCTTTTGTTATGGGATTTCGGACGGGGTTCAACGGCGAAATTTATTGCGGTAGGAAGGCAGGCGTGGTTATAAAACAGGATACCCGTTGCCGGGATGGACTCGGGGTGGGGGGGAATAAGGTGCCATAGCCGTTGCAGGTTTACGATAGTTATTTGCACTTGGACACTAGAGGGTTAATTACAAAGTGCTTATATGTGTTATCTCTGTACTACTGCATATAATTAATGAATTATCAATCAATCACTGTACCACATAACCCACGTCGAGTCCTACGAGTGACCGCCGATGATCCAAGAAGCACCCACAATTCGTACATATCATCCCTGAAATAGAGCACTCGTATTCTCGGAATTAATGTGGACCGGGGGATAGGTGCCTTCCTATAGGAGTCACTCTCGCTTGTTACAAGTTATTTCTTTTGATTTACTTACCCCCGACGATTAGGGCGTGATGCGATTCCAAGAGCTGATTTGTTAAGATCAACACGTGCTACGGGTGTATTTACCCTACCCCCGCACACACGTTGCGGCCTGAGTTCTTCCTAGCTTCGTTTCTATCGATAACAACTCTAACGGAAATCGAAAATCGAAATCCATATCCCACATCTCCACTATCACATACCGCACCCGGACCGAAGCGAGAATTGAGCTTAGGCAATTGTCAATTCATTCCAATTTCCTAGCCTGGCTAGCTAGGTAACCTTTTTCGTTTTGGAGGGGAAGAGGAAAAGGGAAAATAGATTGCCTGTTACAAATCTGCTCTAATTCAAATATATATATATATTTACTATAGTAGCTTGCCCATCATGTCCGTACCCTTCCTCTCCTCCATACGACACCGAAGGATCGTCGCGATAATGGTTTTGTTTAGTTTTCTTGTATTTGGTCTCTTTTCTCTGATGGAAAGTGCAACTGTTAGTGCTGGTGTGGTTGTGAGTGGAAATACGAAAGAGGCAAAGGAAATGAAGGGAGTCAAGGAGGCAAAGGAGGCAAAATTTCCAGAGATGAAGGAAGCGAAAGAGGCGAAGGCCGTAGTGAAGGTTAATGTCCCGGGATTTTTTATGCAGGACTTGGATAGCACGAATAGTGCTACTTTTGACTATGTAGGTGTCTTTTTGCTGTTTATTTCCCATTTGATAAGATCGAGACTAACTCAAGTGAAGGTTGCGAGCAATTTCGGGCTACTTGATACCTTTGATGTTCCCTCCATTGATTCACGGGACTTGGAAAAAAGAGACCATCATGATGACGATGATGACGATGATGACGATGATGATAAGGATGAGGACGACGATGATAAGGATGAGGACGACGATGATAAAGATGAGAATGACGAGAATGACGAGAAAGAGGAATCTACGAAGAAGGCGCCATGGAAAGAGTTCAAGAAAGCTATTAAAAAGTTGAATAAGAAAGCTCCAAAGGGTACATCCTACAAAGTTTTGTACCTTGCGAGACATGGGCAGGGTTATCATGTGGGTTCTTTTATCATTTCCTTGATCAATTGATTATTTAATATGCTAACAATTGACTGTAGAATGTTGCAGGTATGTATAAATTATTATTTGTGAGAAGATAGCACACATGCTGACACGAATCCGTCACGAAGAATCGTTTTACGGCACGGAACAATGGGATGCACGTTTATCCCGCCTTCAATTGTATCTTCAATTCATCTACTGACATTTTCTCTCTAGTGCTATTGGTCACTCCAGGACGGGAATGAAACTAGTAGATGGGACGACGCGGAGCTCACGAGTATTGGGATTTCAGAGGCACAGAAGGCAAGCATTGCGTTCAAAGACCAGATCAAAACCGGGTTTCCTATTCCCGAGGTTTACTATTCTTCTCCCATGAGGTAGATATGGACAATACTTTAACGAGTGAATATTGCTGATGAACATGGCATGGTAGTCGTGCGGCGAGTACCCTCGATATCACTTGGAGAGACATAACACTCAACAAAGATAGCACTCCCGCTCCCATCTTCAAAGAGGTCTTCCGCTTTATTCTTGCTCATGAATTTTCTGGATAACTGATGGCTGTATAGAAATGCCGTGAAACGCTTGGAATCCACACCTGTGACCGCCGTAACACAAAGAGCTATCTTCACACCAAATATCCCAACTTCGTGTTTGAGAACGGATTCGCCGAGACCGATGAACTCTGGGACCCGGTCTATAGGGAGCCCAATGATGTACGAAATATCCGTTTGGGCAAGGCACTAGACGAGATCTTTGCAGAGAGGAGAGAGGAGACGTTTATCAGCATTACTGCGCATAGTGGTGCTATTACCAGGTGAGCCCTTCCGTTCGCGGGCTCCTTATCGGAGATGTTGGAGCTGATATGAAGGCGTAGTATTCTGGAGGTTATCGGACATAGGAAGTTCGGATTGCAAACTGGAGGTGTTATTCCTGTTGTTGTGAAGGTCGAGTATGATGCTACTCCGACGCCTGTCACGAGTGTGAGCCCTTCAGGGACTGCACCGGCTTGTGCCGTGGACCCTACCACAACGTCATTGATGAATTAGAGTGGTCTTTGAAGCTGAGAGGGAGGAAAAAATTGTCATTTGTAAGGGTTGCATGTACTATACATGTGTGAGGATAAATACCCGAATGCCGTCATCCGTTTATGTGTTTCGCAAATTTATATGTAGAAATTTTAAAAAATTTGATTTATGAGTCTTCATCTCCCCCATCAACTAAGGCTGGGCTGGGCTGGACAGCACTGGGCTGTGGCACCTTCGGTTGTCCGTGGAAGGCTGTGGAATGCGTTAGCTCCGCCCTCCCCCAGATCCATACAAAAGATTGCCAAGATGTCCTTGCCTCCCACCACTTGGCTGACTGTACATGACTCCTCGCAGCCTCTTTATCTGGCCCATTCACCCAGCTTAAATTCCTGTTCCGATCTTCTCACTTCATTTCACATCCATACATCCCAAGACTCAGTCGCTACTACAAAGTCGAACGAACCTTCATTTTTAAAACATCTACATACTACTAAACGCTCCGAAAGCTATATATCATGTCTGACGATTGGGATTCTGCCACTGTCATCGGCGCTAAGGCCCGTGGGAACGCCAGCAGGACCACCGTTGCGAAAACCAACGCTGAGATCAACGCTGCGAGACGAAGTGGTACCGTTGTTGCTACTGAGAAGAAGGTACTTAATTTTTTTTTGTATATATCCCGCTGTGAATAGTGCTAACAGAGTTACAGTATGCCGGTGGTTCCAACAAGGTTCAGTCTACAGAAGGCCAAAGGCTCACCAAGATCGACCGTGAGAATGAGGTTGCCCCTCCGCCAAAGGTCGATTTGAGCGTCGGAAAGGCCATGGCCCAAGCCCGCCAGGGCAAGGAGCCCCCGATGTCGCAAAAGGTATGTAGCGATAGTTGCGCGGTTGTATCTCCTTGATAGATAGGGTATTGACGTGTATGGATAGGATCTTGCCACCAAGGTCAACGAGAAGCCTTCAGTTATCAACGACTACGAATCCGGTCGTGCTGTCCCCAACCAGATGCTTCTAGGTAAGCTAGAGCGTGCTTTGGGCGTCAAGCTAAGAGGGAAAGATATTGGTTCCCCTATCGGGGGGCCTAAGAAGAAGTGATCTATCTTATCGCTTCTTCTTCTTGATATTTTCTTTCCTTCTATGGTTTTTAGCGGGTTGGTGTAAATGGGTTGTGCTGGGTACGCATAGATTCTATCAGTAGGAAGAATCGGAACGGGATAGGGAAATGCTGGCATGTTCTTGTTTGTCTGCTTTTTTTTGTTGGGTTTGATGTCTTCAAATGATCGCACCAAATGTTCAGGATAGAAAACGAATAAGCGGGTGCTAGTAATGCCTCAAGGGTCGTTCCTCCTGATATTAGTTTCTTTGGTTTCTTCTGGTTCCGTCTTCGTTGTGTGGAGAGTTTTTGCACTGATATAGACCGTTTGTTATATTCAATATCATTCGAAAGCTTTGAGTACTCAGAAGGGAGCTTCAATTAAGATTTTAGAGTGAACATGATTTCCCCAGGTTTTCGCCTACCTCTAGCTTCATTGTTGGGGTTCTAGAAAGACAAGTTTTTCGATCAGGACCATTCATGCGTGCCTAGCTGTGAAAATCCCGGTTGAATGTCCCCCTTACTGTGTTCCCCGGGTTTTTGCACCCCGCAAAGGAGGCAAATGATCACTCGGTGTAAGAGCTGTGAATTGAGTGGTTTGGCTAGGTACATGTAGGTAGATGACAGTTGACAGCAGCTAACTGGACCAACTTGAGCTTAGAGTGGATCCTGCGTCACGGCTTTGTCGAGTACACATCCGTAGTGTTTGTCCGAAAACCCGGAATTCTTCTGCCTAATGCCAGATCTCTAGGTACAAACTTTGTAGGCAATGAAATTGAGCTTCTCCCAGGTACATACACGCAATTGTTTAGCATCGCTGTCTCTGCTTTTGTAAAGAAAAAGTAGAGTACCCACGGGGGACTCGAAATGCCATCCGAAGAGTTTTTCCGAAGAACCCGGCTCTTGATTAAAGGACAAGAGACTTGACTGCAATTGAACAAGTGGGCACTCTACGGTCATTTGTCCGTGGGGGTTTTTTTCATCTTTGTCAAACTTTTCTGGGTGTGTATCGGTATTGTTAAGTTAGTCCCCGTCAAGGCTAGGGTGGCCTTTTATTGCAGTCGTTTAAATTTTGTCGTTCCCGCGTCTCTTTTTTTTTCGGTCCCACGAAAGTGTTGTTATCAGATTCTGCTCCTACTTCACACAAAGATCTTTTTCTTTATCAGATTCAACATCAAAGGAGAAAGGGAAAAAGGGCATAACGCAGATCCACACGCAACACCCGCGCACCCAGAAGCAGGCATCCGCTGATCCGCAGACCCCACGCACCCCATTCGCCAGTGCCCCACGTTCGCATTTGACCCCTCTTTTTTTCCCCGAAAAAAAAAAAAGAACCACCGCCAACTTGGCTTCCTCTACATTCTTCAGAGCAGCGGCCTTTCGTTGCGGGAACGGAAGGTTAAAATTGCTCTGTGCTTCGGCTAGACCACCGCAAACAAATTCAAGACTTTTCTCTACAACACGATTCGATATGGTTGCTGAGAAGATTGACGGAACGTTGGTCGCGAAGAGGATCAGGGAGAGAATTAACCAGGAGATTAAGAAAAAGCAGGAAACCTCAAGCAGGTTCAAGCCTAGTTTGACGATTGTTCAAGGTGAGTGATTGGTGGAGAAGGAAGTGTGGGGTTTATTAGAATGTGAATGGTCACTGACTTTATCTTTGTTTACAGTGGGCGATAGATCCGACTCTAGTAATAAACCCTTGAGATATCGATTTTGATAAATGAAACAAAACCTCTGATAACAGTTTTTTTTGAGACTTGCAGGCACCTATGTTCGCATGAAGCTGAAGGCCGCTGAAGAAGTTTGTACTTCGTTATTTTCATCGTAAAGTAACCTCTTTCTGACTCATAATCTAGGCCAATATCACCTGTGACCTCATCAAGCTTGATGCCGAGATTACTGAGGCTCAATTGCTTGAGAAGATCGAGCAGCTCAACAATGACCCTTCAATTCACGGTATCCTCGTTCAGCTGCCTGTTCCTAAGCACATTTCAGAGCCGGCTGTGACTGCTGCCGTTTCCCCAGCAAAGGATGTAGATGGTTTCGGAGCGATCAACATCGGTGAACTTGCTAAGCGTGGTGGAAACCCTCCTTTCGTCCCATGTACCCCCCAGGGTGTCATGGTTCTTCTCAAGGAGTACGGCGTTGACATTTCCGGGAAACACGCCGTTGTTCTTGGACGTAGTGACATTGTCGGATCCCCCGTTTCATACCTCTTGAAGAACGCTGATGCTACGGTCACCGTTTGTCACTCGCGCACCAAGAATATTCAGGATTTTGTCAAGCAGGCTGATATCCTTATTGCTGCCATTGGTCAACCTCAATTCGTCAAGGGCGACTGGCTAAAACCGGGCGTCGTTGTTATCGATGTTGGTACCAACTATATCAAGGATGCGACCCGCAAGTCTGGTGAACGTCTCGTCGGAGATGTCGACTATGAGTCTGCAAAGGAAGTTGCATCCAAGATCACCCCTGTCCCTGGCGGTGTTGGGCCAATGACCGTTGCCATGCTTTTGCAGAACGTCATCACTTCCGCGAACCGTTTCTACGCAGAAAACTCTGCCAGGAAGACTACACCATTGCCATTGAAGCTTCTCAGCCCCGTCCCTAGCGATATTGCTGTATCCAGGGCCCAGGTGCCAAAAAACATCAAAATCATTGCACACGAGCTCGGAATCTCCGACCAGGAGCTTGAACTATTCGGCGCTTACAAGGCCAAGGTCAACTTGGATCTTCTTCAACGATTGGGTCACCGTAGGAATGGAAAGTACATTCTCGTTGCCGGTATTACTCCTACTCCCCTTGGGGAAGGCAAGTCTACTACCACCATGGGGTTGACCCAGGCTCTCGGTGCTCACTTGGGAAAGATTGCTTTCGCCAACGTCAGACAGCCCAGTCAAGGACCTACCTTTGGTATCAAGGGTGGTGCTGCTGGTGGAGGATACTCCCAGGTCATTCCTATGGACGAGTTCAACATGCACTTGACTGGTGATATTCACGCCATCACCGCTGCAAACAACTTGCTTGGTAAGATAAACATTGACTCTCATTCTTATATCGGATGCTGATAACTTCCAGCTGCTGCTATTGAGACCAGGATGTTCCACGAGAACAGCCAGAAGGACAAGGCTTTGTTCAACCGTCTCGTTCCCAAGAAGAGCGGAGTCCGCACATTTGCCCCCGTCATGTTCCGTCGTCTTAAGAAGCTTGGAATTGACAAGACCAACCCGGACGACTTGACCCCCGAGGAAATCACCAAGTTCGCAAGACTCGATATTGACCCAGAAACAATCACATGGCGCAGAGTCTTGGATGTCAACGATCGCCATTTGCGGCAAGTTACCATTGGCCAGGCACCATCGGAGAAGGGACACACTCGTGTTACTGGATTCGATATCTCAGTTGCTTCCGAGTGTATGGCCGTTTTGGCCCTATCGAACGACTTGCCGGACATGCGTGAACGGTAATGATTACAGCTATCTGAATATTGAGTTTAGAGCTAACTTCTTTTTGTCAACAGTCTTGGACGCATGGTTATTGGAACAAGCAGGTCTGGAGATCCAGTCACTTGCGACGATATTGGTGCTGGTGGAGCCTTGACTGCACTCATGAAGGATGCCATCAAGCCTAACCTTATGCAAACTCTTGAGGGAACCCCAGTCTTTGTCCACGCTGGTCCTTTCGCCAACATCTCTATCGGTGCTTCCTCCGTTATTGCCGACAGACTTGCTCTCAAGCTTGCCGGTACCGAAGAGGATGAGGTTCACGAGGATAAGGTTGGTTACGTCGTCACAGAGGCTGGCTTCGACTTCACCATGGGTGGAGAGCGCTTCTTCAACATCAAGTGCAGGTCCAGTGGTCTCACCCCAGATGTTGTTGTTATTGTTGCTACTGTCCGTGCTCTTAAGGTTCACGGTGGAGGACCTGAAGTCACTGCTGGCGCACCCCTTCCTGAAGAATATCGCACTGAGAACGTCGAGTTGCTCCGCAAGGGCTGTGTCAACTTGGCTAAGCACATCGCCAACGCCAAATACTACGGCATTCCCGTCGTCGTTGCCATCAACAAGTTCCACACGGACACTGATGCAGAAATCCAGTGCATTCGTGAGGAGGCTATCAAGGCTGGCGCTGAAGATGCTGTCCCAGCTAACCACTGGGCCGAGGGTGGAAAGGGAGCTGTTGACTTGGCCAAGGCGGTTATTGAATCCTCCTCCAAGCCCAAGAACTTTAGACTCTTGTACAACACCGAGATGTCCATCGTTGAGAAGATGGAGGCTATTGCCAAAGAGATGTATGGTGGAAACGGTGTCGAGCTTAGCGAGCTTGCAAAGCAGCAGTGCGAGACCTACACCAGACAGGGCTTTGGACACTTGCCCGTTTGCATTGCCAAGGTTCGTTTTCCTTCCCTTCCTTCCCGTAGAACTATTATTAACTAAGCTCGGTAAACATTAGACCCAATACTCGCTTTCTCACGACCCACTTCTGAAGGGTGCGCCCACTGGCTTTACCGTGCCAATTCGCGACGTGCGTTTGTCGCCGGGTGCGGGTTATCTGTATGCGAAGGCAGCGGATATCCAGACCATTCCTGGTCTGCCAACCGCTCCGGGATATCTCAATGTCGATGTTAATGCGGAGACTGGTGAGATTGAGGGATTGTTTTAGGGAGGTTGTTGTGGGTAGGAGTAAAGTTTAGCCGCGGGCCGGGTGGGAACGAGGTGGTTATTCCGATTTCTTTTTGTTTTTTGTTTTTTTTATTTGCGGAGGAACGGGGTTGCAATTTCAACAATTGGTACAGGCGCATTGGGGGGAAAATTTCAACACAGTACAAAAATTCAAGTTTTAGTAAATAAATTCTGTACGGCAGCAGTAGATGATCGATCACGATGAATATCATCTTGTAAAGAGGATTGTTATCGACATAGCGGAAGGGTAACCGCAAAACGCTTACTCTGCGGTATGACGTTATACCCGTTGACCCGAAGGAATAACCCCACCATCCGAGTGAGAAAAACTTCATCTAGGGGCAACCCCCACCATTTTGCTCCGTCGCTCGCTGTAAGGGAGGCTCGTGGGGTCCTATCAATACCAATCTTTTTGGTAAGTCCCGCTCCAGGGAAAGCGGGAAACAACAGAAAGGGAGAGCGATGTAGGAAAAAAAAAAATTGAAGGAAAAAAATTACTCGCACTGTGTGTGGTGTGACTCTAACATCCATCAAATAATTGCCAATAGCCCACCTACCCTGCCTTTTACTACACCCCCCCCCCCCCCCCCACTGAACACATCTGAAGTGCTGAGATCGAGAGAACCTAGCACACGGAACGCTTGTTCGTTGTTCCTGTTTTTTGCTTAATTCCCTCTTCCCCATCCCTTCTACGGTGTACCTCTTTTTTTTATCTCCGACATATACCGACTTTGTTCCTCGGCAATGAGTTTCGTTCGCCCCTCCTCCTCCCGGTTGTTGTCGCTGCGGGGCCCATCAACTGCATCCTTCTCGTGCGCTGCTGCTAGACCTTTTACATCAGCATCATTGTCGTTGAAGTCGCGGATTTATTCTTCTACTACTCGCACTCCCACCGCTGCAACTACTCCTTCTTCGTCAAGCTTCAACTACTCAAACAAAAGATTTTTCTCCGTCAGTATGGCTCGTGAATGTGAGTGTGCTTGCTCTCTCTTTGATAATTTATCCCTGTCTCTTGTTGTGTGTGTGTGGAAGCATGTATGGAAGATGGACGAAGGGAGAAAGTTGGATGCAATAGATGCGTGATAAGATGAGGATGGCATGGCATGTGCGGGTGCTAAGTGTAGTGGTGATATAGTCCAGAAGATCAAGGTCAAGAACCCAATTGTTGGTATGTATCCTATTCGTCCAGGAACGGAGCAAGAGCGGAGGGGTGGAAAAGGGAGAAAGAGAAAGAGAGAAGGGGGGGGAAGTATATGCAGTTCAAGAGGGAATCTCTGACGTTATGTAGAATTGGACGGAGATGAGATGACTCGGATCATTTGGGACATGATCAAGCAGAAGGTATGTCTGGTCCATCATTTGCTGCAACTGCAGCTCACCGCTTATTTCAACGTCCCCTCATCCAACCAACCTCAACTCCCTCGGCATGTGAATGCAAAAGATAAACAAAATGACTGACTCATATTCGTGTGGTACCCCGTAGTTCATCCACCCGTGCGTAAACCTATTTTTTTTCTATTCTTTATCTTGATGTGCTCAATGCCTCGGCAGAGTTTCGGTTGTTGACGATAATAACATAGATACCTTGACATTGACCTCAAATACTACGATCTTGTAAGTATATGCTCTCCTGGGATCGGGGGATTTGTTTGTTCATGTATCACAACGGTCTAACGGAGGTTTTGTGATAGGGACTCGAGTACCGTGACCAGACCGATGATAAGGTTACCACTGATGCCGCTGAGGCCATCTTGAAGTACCAAGTCGGTGTCAAGTGTGCCACCATCACTCCCGATGAAGCCCGTGTTGAGGAGTTCAAGTTGAAGAAGGTAAATGATCACTCAGTTCACCCTCTCAAGCCCCCAATTTCAATGGTGTTTTCAATCATTTACTAACATCATGGACAATAGATGTGGCTCAGCCCCAACGGAAGTCAGTAATATCAATCATTTCCACCTTGTGAGACAACAAGACTAACCCTAACCCCAGCCATCCGTAACATTCTCGGTGGTACCGTCTTCCGTGAGCCCATTGTCATTCCCCGTATCCCCCGTCTGGTCCAGGGATGGAAGGAGCCCATCATCATCGGTCGTCACGCCCACGGTGACCAGTACCGTGCCAAGGACCTTGTCGTCCCCGGCCCTGGAACCCTCGAGCTTGTATTCACCCCGGTTGGTGGTGAGCCCGAGCGCATCAAGGTGTTCGACTACAAGTCCGGCGGTGTCGGCCTCGCCATGTACAACACCGACGAGTCCATCGAGGGCTTCGCCCACGCCTCGTTCAAGCTCGCCATCCAGAAGAAGCTCCCGCTGTACATGAGCACCAAGAACACCATCCTCAAGAAGTACGACGGAAGGTTCAAGGACATCTTCCAGCAGATCTATGACACCACATACAAGGCCGAGTTCGAGGCCGCAAAGATCTGGTACGAGCACCGTCTCATCGACGACATGGTCGCCCAGATGATCAAGTCCGAGGGCGGCTACATCATCGCCATGAAGAACTACGACGGTGACGTCCAGTCCGACATTGTCGCCCAGGGCTTCGGATCTCTCGGTCTCATGACCTCGGTCCTCATCACCCCCGACGGTAAGACTTTCGAGTCTGAGGCTGCCCACGGAACCGTCACCCGCCACTACAGGGAGTACCAGAAGGGCAATGAGACCTCCACCAACCCTATTGCCTCGATCTTTGCCTGGACCCGTGGTTTGATCCAGAGAGGACAGCTCGATGGAACCCCCGAGGTTGTGGCTTTCGCGGAGGCCGTTGAGAAGGCGGTTGTTGACACTGTTGACATTGACGGTATCATGACCAAGGATTTGGCCCTGGCCTGTGGTCGCAAGGACCGCGCGGCGTGGGTTACTACTAATGTGAGATTTCCTCCCCCTATCACATAACCATATAGATGGCGTACTGACAAACTTGCAGGAGTACATGGACGCCGTTGAGAAGAGGTTGAAGAACTCTTTGAAGGAGAAGTTGTAAAAAGCGCATATGATTTAACCACTCTTTTTTTATAGAAACTGCTTACAATGTATTTTGGGGGCTATATGTATACTTTTTTTCCCTCTTTTTTTTCTCTTTTTTTTTCGTTTGAGGAAAGTGTTTTTGTACATGTACAGAGTGCATAGGATATCCGGGATCTTTTTAAAAATATATATAAAATAAGAATTTTTTTCCTCCGATTTTATGGTGTCTTGGAGTGAAGTGAAATAAAGTGAAATAAAATGATTTGTGGTGAGATAGGGTGGGATTGGATGGGGTGTGGCGTTTTTGATAAAATTTTGGAATACGTGGTCACGGACTATCACTCGCACTGAAATTAGCCTTGCAGAACCTAGCAGTCTAGCACCCGACAAACCTTATCCACTAGCCTAACAAACCCTCCCGGCGAGCCCGCCGCTAAGTGTCAACAGTGTGCGACTTAGGAGTGCAATCACAGCAACATGGCGCAGCGGAAGCGCGCCGGGCTCATAACCCGGAGGTCCCACGATCGAAACGTGGTGTTGCTAATATTTTGTATTTTTTTTGTGCCGTTTGAGGGTGTGGGGAGGAAGAGAGGGTGTTTTTAGTTCATGTAGGGGATTCTGGGTGTGTTCTAGTCGTGGGGTAAGGCTGTTTCTTGGGGGATGTGGTGGTGGTGTTTGCGGTTGAGGTACTGTGATGCGAATTTTTTATAACTTTCTTTTGATACACTTTAGGACGTTGGGAAGTGGTGTGTGTGGTTTGCTAAGGAAGACTGGAGTTTATACATGTAACCTTACACTGAAGATTACGAATATTCGAGCTGCGTAAAGTTCCACATGAATTAAGCTGCCTCGTTCCACACCGGCGTGGCGCCAACTGTCAAAATCTCACAGTCAGAGCCTACTTATGTAGTACGGTGTCAATGATCTAGCCCTACGTATATGTACCTACACACGCCCAATATACCGAGTCCACACACCGCAGCGTTTCGTGTGGTGTGCTTACATAGTTCTGGGTAGCTAGGAGATGCAATGGGACACATAAAAATAATTTTCCCTCGAGTATCAAGAGGGAGCAAAAAAAAGCAAAAAGGGATGGTGAGTGATCAATTCACGTACTATCGAGCTTACGCACTGGAGAGGTTGTCTCACCTAGTTGCTTGAATAACAGGCGCCAGTGTCCATTACACTAAAGCGTGGTGAGAGCATTCAGTTCGTTTTTTTCACTCAATGTAGGGTTAGGTGTGTATACTAGTAACGCAATGCCCAAAGGCTCTACCAGACATGTTAATGCATCTTTTAATGCATCTTTTTTTCGGTGGGGTAATGCATCTTTTTTTATATGGGTAAACTCGTCCGAAAGTCGTACTTTAAATGTGTTACTTTTAATATGCGTGTAAATGCATCAATAATGGATCAAACAAAGTACGCATTTACCTGTTACCCATAGCGGTAATAAAAACAAAGAGTGAGCGTTGGGGGATTTGAACTAGCTAGAGCCAATCTCTCAACTACTCAATGTCCTATCTACTACACCATGGATGAGGAAGGTATCTTATCATTTGTAGAATTAATGAATGGAGGATGATGAGGAGGAAAGTACATTGCAATGTCGTTGATTGGTCGTCTGAAATGAATACCAAAGTCGTATGTGATCCAAAAGTGTAAAATAAGGACCCATAAGTCGTCCATTAATCGTTTTAAAATAATTTCCCAATTATCCCCCGAGTAAATGCATCAAATAATGCACCAGGTGATGCATTTACAAATAACGTCCCGAGTTAATGCATCATTTGTGCCCTTTCCTCGTCGGTTTTGTATGGGCAATGTGCAAATTGATGCATTAACATGTTTGGTGGAGAGGGAACCTTGGTAATATTAATAATAGACGCCTTATGTACATTTGCGGAAGAGGGAAATGATCGAAAATACTTTTTTTTCTCTCTTTGCAGCCCTTTCCCAGTTGCAGATCACATCATCGCCTTAGAAATTATTTCCGACGACGGAGATTTCCGCCATTGCTTATCAACCAACAATCCATCCATCCCCGCCACTCCGCTCTGAGCTGCCCCGCCGTTGATATATCGCAGTTTCTCTCCACCACAACTACAGCTACAACTCTGACTGCACTGCAAGTTATTTACAATCTCACCTACAGCTAAACTTATAACTACAGACACCATGGCAGCCGTCGCACTCCCCCTCCAAGCAAACATCATGGGCCCGCCCCCCGCCGACCCGCAACTCGTCGCCCCCGAGCCCGGTAAGCCACCTCTCCCCTCACCTCCCCCCTCACCTCCCCGTCCTCAACTAACACCCCCAGAACACTGCCCCGGCCCCTCCTCCGACCTCGCCGGCAAAGGCGACGCCTGCGCCGGCTGCCCCAACCAACAAATCTGCGCCACCGCACCCAAAGGCCCGGACCCCGACCTCCCCCTCATCAACGCGCGCATGTCCACCATCGCACACAAACTCCTCATCATCTCCGGCAAGGGCGGCGTCGGCAAGTCCACCTTCACCTCCATGCTCGCACACGCCTTCGCGCAGTCGCCCAGCACGCAGGTGGGCGTGTGCGACATCGACATCTGCGGGCCGAGCATCCCGCGCATGATGGGCGCGCTCGGCGAGAGCATCCACTCCAGCAGCTCCGGGTGGAGCCCGGTCTATGTCGCGGATAACCTCGGCGTCATGAGTATACAGTTTATGCTGCCGGGCAAGGATGATGCGATCATCTGGAGGGGCCCGAAGAAGAATGGGCTCATTAAGCAGTTTTTGAAGGATGTGGAGTGGGGGGTGCTGGATTGGTTGTTGGTGGATACGCCGCCCGGGACGAGTGATGAGCATCTGAGTGTGTGTGGGTATCTGAAGGGGACGGGCGTGGATGGCGCGGTGGTGGTGACGACGCCGCAGGAGGTGGCGCTGCTGGATGTGAGGAAGGAGATTGACTTTTGCAGGAAGGCGGGCATCGAGGTGTTGGGGGTTGTGGAGAATATGAGTGGCTTTGTGTGCCCGAACTGCGAGGTGAGTCTCTATTCCGAGTATTGGTGGTCGGGGATGCTAACGAGTGGTGCAGGGCGAGTCGCAGATATTCCACGCAACAACGGGTGGTGCGCGCGCGCTCTGCAAGGAGATGAATATCCCGTTCCTCGGCGCTGTCCCGCTCGACCCGCGCATTGGCGTGGCGTGCGACTATGGCGAGAGCTTCTTTGACGCCTATCCGGAGAGCCCGGCGTGTGAAGGGCTCATGGGGATTATTGGCAAGCTGAGGGAGGGCATGGGGTTGCCGCCGTTGGAGAGTGAGGGTGTGGAGGAGGAGGAGGAGTAGTAGTTGATTTGTTTTTGTTCCTCGTATTTGATATCCGGTCCTTTTTTTTTATTTGTCTGCGCTTTGTGTGGGGTTATGGAGTTTGGGGTGTGCTAGCTAGTTGTAAAAAATCAAAATTGTGCAGTTTGTGAGAAAATAAGGCTAGAATAAAAGTGTGGTTATATGTTGGCTCTAGTATCAATCGCTTCTATGATAGTTATGGCACACGAGATGAACCCCTGAAAATAGTGTAAAACTCACTAGACAAAAGTCAGTACAGTACCATGCCCGGGGCGGATATGCTCCTGCCTTCCGTTTCCGTGCTGTCAATAATCCTCATCAGAAATACAGTCATGAAATATCACTCGCTCCACAAAACCGCCAGAACCCTCCCCGGGGGGTGCTCTTCATGAGTTGACGTGCCCATACCTATCCACCCAGTCATCCCAACAGCAGAGTATCCCTACTCTGGTAGCGGCTAGGCGATATATGGCAGCGAGGTTTATACCTAAAATAGACCTTATAGTAAGTCGGCATATAGAGTTCGTATTCAGGATGAATAATGGGGGATATATTCTCATATAAATTACTAAGCTCTGCGTTTTTTTGAATTATTACTAATTTTTTGCTAGGCTCGAGCCTTTTGGATATGGGCTCGAGCTCAAAACTCGAGCCAGCTCGGCTCATGCCCACCACTAGCCTGCCTGGTGGCCTCTGCAGTACCATAGGGTGTAGCTATGCCATGCAGCTCTCTTGCTGTCCTGTCCCCTTCAATCGGCTACCGGTGTTTGGTTTGGTTCTTGTGCTTGATTTGTGCTGCGGCCGTAATGTAAACTGCTTTCGACTGTGTTAGTATCTCTGTACTGTCCAGTATCGACAGCGTCTGGAAGTTTTGTACTGCCTATGACCGTACTAGGTCCCTTCATGGAGTGTAAGTTGCGGCAGAAAATAAAAAAAAAGAGTAGGGGAAATGGTAAGAGCGGTGAGATGGCGTCCCTTTCCTTGGGCTCCGAGGGCCGGGGTTGAGGGCCGGGGGGTATGGTCATCGGTGACTAGGCCCGGGGTAGATGTGTTGTTAAGCCGCGCCTACTCACTCATAGATCATCACTCGCACCATGTTCCTAATCCAAAGTTACGGCCAGCCAAGCCCGGGCGAGCGCACGCACAAAACGCCTTCCACTCCTCCCTTCCACTTGTCTCTCTCCCTTTCTTCCCTTTCATCGCCACTACGCCTATTAGAAGTCATCCCAGGGAGTAGAGGAAATTGTTTTTCTTCGTTCATGCTTCCTTTCGGTCTCCCTTTCTTTCTTTTTTTTGTCCCCAGTCCCAGTCCCCTCGTTCATCTCCACTCCCCCCTCACCCCAATTCGTTACGTGTGTATCGCGGCTAGCTGTATGGCGCTCCCCTTCTCTCTCCCTTTTCGCCTGTCAATAATGAAGGCGACACGTCGGGGCTTGAGCACTGTGTGTGAAGCACGGATCTGTTTTTTTGTTGATTGTTTTTTAGTCTCTGGGCTTGACGGCCCAAGGGAACGAAAAAATAATACTCCGGGAAAAGGCAGATCCGTGTTTGATGGTACAGTGCTCATGCCCATTGTGTCGTCCTCTCTCTTGCAGCATTGTGCGTGAGGTATGGATTTTGTCTTTTATAAAGTCGTTGAGTGTTTTTTTTTGACAGATCCAAAAAAAACTAAATGATCCAGAAAAGACAAATCCATATTTGATAGTACAGTGCTCAAGCTCATGCGGTTGAGCTTGCAGGGGGGGCTATTTTTTCTCTCTTTTTTCTTTTTTCTTTCCTTTTTTTTGGGGGGGGGGGGGTGGGGAGGGCGTGTGAAAGTTTGGGCACTGTGTGTCATGTGTGTGAAGTATGGATTTGATTTTTTTGATGATATCTTTAGGCTTTTCCGACATATATCCAAAAAGCTAGAAAATAACTGGAGAAAATCGAATCCATATTTGATAGTACATGAGCTACTAAGTGCTCAGGCTTTGTTTAATTGTATGTACTGTCGATAATGTGCCCATATTAAATTCGTAAACAAACAAAACAAGATATATCGGGGATATATGTTAATGCGGCATGCATATATCTTTTGCGGATTTTCTTGGGGGTGGCTGTCCGATACGATACGAGCACGTTTAAGTACTAGCATACATATACGCCTCTTCTTAAATACAATGTGTTGATGTTCCGTACGTACGTTTTGGCGGGGGGAGTCTTAATCACAGAGGTGCTACATGTACTTTATTTAGAACAAGATCACCTCTAATAAGTACATAACTAACCGCCATCCATACTGTACATAGAATGCGGCAAACAGAAAGGAAGGAAAAACACAACGTGCTCCAACTATAAGCGTTCCCCACAGCAGAAGCGTTAATTCTCACCCTGTACACACAGACTCCATCATGTCGTCCAAAACAGATTAGATTAAAAGAGAAAAGGTCCAAAATGACACAGTCTTCGATTATAGATAGACGTGCCATCATAATGCAAAATGACAGGCACACCACAGTCGAGAAAGAATTGAAAAAAAAAAATGAAAAAAAGAAAAAAAACAGAAGGTTCCATTTACAAAAAGTACTGCAACCGGCGGTTAACTCCAGTTACTACTCCCACCCCTGGCTCGAACCCAGGACCTTCCGTCGTCCTGAGCACAAACACTCGGTGTCTAGCCCGACGGGTAGTCTAAACCAACTAGACCACCCGCCCATGGTGGCTACTGCACTGGAAGTGATACATGATCCTTGGGACTGGTGTGCTAAGATGAAGCAGAACCAGCCCCTAACCCTCCATAATATGTACTAATTCAATGGCTGAATCATAGCAAGGTGTGTCATGTGTTATTTGTAGTTAGAGCACGTCTGTGTGCCGAAAACTGTCATTTTAGGTCACCTTTTTCCGTAAATTGTAACTGCTTCTACCAGAGACCGTCACTTCCATTGGTTCAATCTATTACTGTTAATAGACTGCATCTATCGAATTGGGTCTAAAGTATTGATACTTATCACTCCCAATCAAAATACTAGAGATTCCCCCCCCCCCCCTCTCCTGAAAAATGTAAATCATAGGTTATCACTCGCCATATCTTGGCACGCAGGCATCCTCGAATCGGGCAAGAAGACAGTAAAAGCAGAATGTTCTGGGTTTTCTGTCTATTGAGGCGTCTAGTGGCATCAGGCAGCACCTTCTAGGCTCCTCTACGGAGAGAGAGAATATCATTCATGGAGACCGAACCACAAAAAAAGAGAAAAAAACACCAGATCAAGGAACCAGAAAAATGTCAAATTGATATTACTACCCATAAACCATCCTACATACCCTCTATCTACCCCCCCTCCCCCTCCCCCTCCCCACACCCCAAACCTACGCCGTAAAATACAACCAACTAAACCCCACCCAACTCCCCACCACCCCGACCGCCGCATAACTACTCATAAACATCTGCGGCACAAACTCCCACCTCCCGCCCCACACCAGCGGATGCACCACACTCGTATACACCACCAGCGGCACACTCACCACAATAAACAGCGTCGCCGGCCGATCCAGCAAGAACCTCCGCTGCCCCACACTCACCGGCGCCAGCCGATCAAACGCCGACAAGAACACCAGCAGCCACAGCACCGTGTACACGGTCTTTATGGGAAACTCTGGCGCCGTGAAGAGCAGCGGGAAGAGCGCGACGTGGCCGGCGACGGCGAGCGGGCGGAAGGCGCCGAGGTACCGCCGGTCCTTGAGGGCGAGCAGCGAGAAGGGGAGGATGATGAGCAGCACGGCCTTCTCGTGCACGTGCCAGCCGAAGAGGAAGGAGGCGTAGGCGCAGAGCGTGACGGCGCCGAGGAAGGCGTCGAAGGTGGGGCGCAGCCAGAGCTTGCAGAGGGCGAGCAGCTGGAAGAGGAGCGTGAGGAGGAAGGTGGCGCGCGGGGTGACGTTGGGGAGGACGGCGAAGGAGGTGTCGCCGACGAGGCCGCGGGTGACACTGTTGATGGCGCTTGGGTCGACGGTGAGGCCTAGCCGGGGGGCGACTGTAATGTGTTAGCTCAATTGGCCCTGCTACACCCCTCACCCGGGGAAGGGAGAAACGTACCGAAGATTAGCACACGATCAGTGAACGAGTACATGGCCCACACATTCGGCGCCCAGTACGCATGGCACAGCCCGCGACTAAACGGAAACAGCCTCGCTGCCAGCTGCGGCATCTGGCCCCAATACACAAAGGGGCCGAATGCGGCGCCAAACACTGCCAGCAGGCCCAGGCCCAGCTTGACGCAGTTCCAGAAGCGGATGTCCAGCACCGACTTTGGGCCGAGGCAGTATGCGCGCAGCAGGAACACAAAGTATGCCGGCGCCAGGTAGAGGTAGATGTGCTTCAGACACAGCAGCGCGGCAAAGAGCAGCCCCGAGAGCAGCCGCGTGGAGGGTGACCGCGCGAGCACGAGCGAGAGGAGAAGGATGCCGTAGAGGAAGCCGTTGTACTGGAAGTGGATGTGGTCGATGATGAGGAGGCCGGGGGAGAGCAGTATTGAGAGCGCGGCGGCGTGCGCGGTGCGTTTGGATGCTTCTGGGGCGGTGGTGATGTATCTAGTGAGCGGCGACAGCACCTCTGGTTAGAAACCTAACCTCCCCCGCCAACAAGACACCCCCCGGGGGGGGGGGGGTGCTGGGGAAGGAAACTGACTTTTGGAGCGCAAAGACGAGCAGCAGCTCGGTGAAGATGACAGACAGGCGCTGGAAGTAGACAGTCTGCGTGCTGGCGTAGTTGAGGTTCTGCACCTCGAGCATGGCCGGGTCAAAGTATTTCGCGACCTGGCTGAGGCACCACTCAAACGCCGCAAAGAAGGGCGGGTAGTCGAGCGTCCATTCCGATGTTTTCTAGAGCTCCGAGGGTCAGTCAGGTCGGGGTTTCCGGCGACGACGCAGAACTATATATTTATATTTATTAGGGAAGAACTGAAGGGTGTATGTTATTTTACCTCGAAGTACCACTCGTTGACGGGCAGAGAGTGCGTGATGGCCAGCCAGTTGCGGTGGACCTCAAAGTCTGTAGATTTACTGCTCAGATCAGCTTCCAGCTCCACTCCTCCTACCACTCATGCTCAAAGCCAGGGACAATAGTACTGACTATGTGGGAATCAGCAGCAGCTTGAACGCCGTCGAGACAATCGCGCACTCGCGCAGTGAGGGGTGGAATTTCTCCATCAGACATTCATTCCCCCGTGAATTGAGTCTCCGGGGAGTCGTAGAGAAGGAGCGTTGGAGGTGAGCGGGACTGCGAGCACAGCACTCACGGGGATTTGAGGGATTCCAGAGACTGCGGGTGTAACGTGTTGTTTGAGGGATGCTGTGGTTACCCTGCCTTCGGTCACGTGATGCGGTTCAAATGCAGTGCCCCGATGTACGCTGGCCACGGCACCACCGGTCCCTAGCCAAAAAAAAAAAAAAAAGTTCCCCACGAGAAAGAAAAAAAAGTTCGAGCACGCACGCACACAACAAAACCAAACCACAGCGAGGAAGAAAAAAAACACATCCTCGAAAACTCTCACCACCACAAATAACGGGCCTGCTCGACTCAATTCACTCCAGCACACAGAGAGAGAGACATTGATACAGCTGCTCTATAATAACGGACTGATCCTCTGTTCCTTTGGTTTTCAAAGGCCGTATTGCACATACGCACATATACTACAATAATTCCCACCACCCCGTCCAATTGGCCCCACCACAATACACACAATGGTCCAAAAGAAACCCACCACAAGCAGCACAAGCGGCAGCAAGTCCAGCGGCGCCTCAAAGCTCACCACAACCCCCACCCCGCTGCTGACATCCGTCTTCTCGCCCGCGCACCTGCGCCTGTCGCTCTTCGCCTCGACGATCCTCGGTCTGGACGCCGTACGGCTACGCATCCACGACACTGTGACTGGCCGTCTTCGCTGCGAGCACGCACTCGACAAGGGCGTGTCCGTCAACTCGCTCGCCTGGGGCACTGTTCCCAGTGCCGCTGCAGCGACCGCTGCCGGCGCAAAGAAGAAGCGCAAGAGGGTCGATGGCGGTGAGGATGCGGCGGCGGTGGTGGTTGCGGCGGCGACGAGTAGAGGAGAGGTGCTGCTGTTCTCGCCGAGTGAGGGCGTGGTGGTGGGTGTGCTCGAGGGCGGCCATATCGGTGAGGTGAGGCAGTTTGTGTTTTCGGGGGAGAAGGAGGAGGGGAGGGGGTGGAGTTGTGGGGTTGATGGGAAGTTGGTGGAGTGGGATTTGAGGAGGAGGTTGCAGATGAGGTATGTGATGTGCAATAGTTCTTTTCTCTCTCTCTTTTATATTGGTTTGGAGGGTCAATTGGGCTCTGTGGTGGTGTTTTTGCGGGTTCTAGTGGGGAGTCTCGGGATATATTCGATATATTCTTGATATCTCGTACAAAGATCTACAAAACCCCCCCTCGCTCTGCAGTTGCACACTGAAACCCCCCAACCTGCATTTCCAATCATTACCCCCCCTCCCCCCTCTTCTCTCACTCAAACTTCTCTAACATATATATAAAAAAACTAGAACAATCAACCTCCCCGACGCCGCCATCCGCCGCCTTGCCTACGCCCCGCCCGAGGCCGTGCTCTGCGCCTCGCACACAATCTACGCCATCAACCACCTCAACCCCGGCATGACCGCGCCCGCAAAGTTCACCGCCAACACAACGCCCATCCACTCGCTCGCCACCTCTCCAGACTACACGCACTTCCTCTCCGCCGCCGACTCGGACCGCTTCATCAACGTCTTCACCCTCACGGGCAGCACCAAGAGCCTCGGCGCCCTCGTCGCCGAAGCCGACGTCACCTCCATCGCCCTCTCCCCCACCGCCGACCTCCTCCTCGCCGTCACCACCGACGGCCTCGTCGAGGTCTTCACCGCCCCCTTCGACCCCGCCGGCACCGCCGCCGCAGACGCCGCGGCATCCCCAACCGCCGCTAGGAAGCGCAAGGCACTCACCAAGAAGGGCGCCGCCAAGGTGACGGTCATCCGCCCCGACAGCAAGGCGCGCGTGGCCATCGCAGACGCTTCCATCCAGGGCGACGACATCGTCGTCGCGTGGGTCGAGAGCGGCGTCAACATGGAGTTCGAGAAGTTCCGCTGGGCCAGCGCAGAGTCGGGCGCCCTGGTGCTCAGCGGCACCGTCGAGATTGAGCGCACGAGCACCGTCCGCATCGGCGGTGGTGGCGCGGCCACGGGCTCGACGATGAATGGCGTTAAGGATCTGGGGAAGGCCTCGGTCGACCAGAGTAAGTCTGTCGTTGTCGGCGGCACAGACGCGCAGGACATTGGCATGGAAGATGCGCCCAGCGACGCCGAAGCCGACGCCGACGCCGACGACCTCTCCTCCTCTGACGAGGACGCCGCCAACCCCGCCCCCACCACCGCCGACGAGCCCTCCTTCGCCGAGAAGTTCCAAGCCCTCGAAGTCAAGACCCTCCAGAGCACCGCCCTTACCACCACCACCGCCGCCGCCACCACCGTCAAGAAGCCCACCACCGCCCCTGCCGCCGGCTCCCTCACCACAGTCCTCACCCAAGCGCTCAAAACACACGACACCCAGCTCCTCGAGTCCTGCCTCCACGTCACCGACTCCCCGTCCATCCTCGCCACCGTGCGCCGGCTGAGCTCCCCGCTCGCCGTGGCCCTGCTCGAGCGCCTCGCCGAGCGCATCGCGCGCCGCCCCGGCCGCGCCGGCTCCCTCGGCGTCTGGGTGCGCTGGACGCTCGTCGCGCACGGAGGGTACCTCGTCTCGCTGCCGGACCTCATGAGTACGCTGGCCGGCCTGTATTCGACGCTCAACAGCCGCGCGGGGGCGCTGCCGCGGCTGCTGGCGCTGCAGGGGCGGTTGGATATGTTGAGGGCCCAGGTGGATTTGAGGAAGGTGATGAGGGGCGATGAGGAGGCGGGGGAGTCGGAGAAGGAGAGGGGGGTGCTGTATGTGGAGGGGCAGGAGGAGGAGGGGGAGTCGGAGTCGGAGTCGGAGCCCGAGGAGGTGGGGATGCAGGGGTTGCAGATTGAGGATGCGAGCTTTATTGGTGGGAAGGTGGGGGGTGAGGATGATGTGGAGGAGATGGAGGAAGAGGAGGAAGAAGAGGAAGAAGAGGAGGATGATGAGGAGGACGAAGACGAGGATGAGGATGAGGATGATGAGGAGGAGAATGGCTTCTTCGATATCGAGGCCAGCGAGGCCAGCGAGGCCAGCGGGGACGAGGAGGAGGACGAAGTCGACTACGACGACGTCGACGTCCAGGTCCTGGACTCAGAGGAGGAGGAGGAAGAGCAGCAGAGAAAGAAGTCTGCAAAGAGCAAGAGCAAGAGCAAGAGCAGACGGTGAACATCTTCACCCAAGAGTACAAAAAATTTAAAAAGGATTAACAAAGCGGTGCAGTATTAATGTCATTTAGTTAGAAAGAACAAAAAAATTCCTGTACGTTAAGATGGTGGCCCTTTTCTTCGTTTTCTATTTTTTCCTTTTTTTTCTTTTTTTTTTTCCGTTATAAAATTCTTGTCTTTTCGATATTGTCTATTTTTTTACTAAAAAGAAAAGTTGTGCACAAAAGCACTTGATATTATTTTATGTTTCGTGCTATCTTACTACTGCTACTACTACTACTGTTGCTGCTACTACTGCTGCTACTACTACTACTGGATGTGTCTACTATTCTACATGTGCTACTATTACTACATAACCTACGACCCTACTACATAGCTGTATTTACCTTACTACCAGTAACGACTCTCGCGTTTACTGCTACATCTGTATATCAATGCCCATATCTCTATTCACAGTACTAGTTCGATCCTAGATCTACATACTACTCTCGATCCCTCAAAGCTCAAAGGTCTCAGTGGAACATCGCACAATGCACGCTCCATCCCATCTGTACAACTACTCTACTCTACAGTATGTGGATTAGATTACCTGTATCCCACCTCCCACCTGCCGCCCTCCACCCCATATCCACAGGGTCCAGACTCTGTACTCTACTCTCCCCATATCAAACTGAGGGGCAAAAAAAACAAAACCAAAAAGCACCACGCCCCCCCCCCCATGCAAAGCAAAAGTGCAGTATGTACCTCCAGTGCAGGTGGATTTGTGTCGGGCTGCGGCATGACGCTCCTGCTCGATCCTACACACACGGGCCTTTTGCTTTTTTGATTGTCCACCCACCACCACTACCTGAGTAGAGTACCACCACTACCCCCCGGCCTATCCATCCATACATTCCCCTTTGGCGCCCATGCGGTAGAGCACATATCTACTCCTACAATATGTATGCGCCGGCAGGCAGGCAGGAGCAAATATTTTTTTTTATGTCGCTGGCTGCTGCGAAGGGAAAGAGAGGGATCTACAGACATACATAGGGGGTGAAGGGAGAGCGGAGAGTGGAGAGGGAAAGGAAAAGGAAAAGGGAGAGTGAGGTAGGGTGGGTGGAGTATTTAGAGTACTCTACCCTACTGCAGGTGCGGAATTCAAATGGGTTCGCGGTTCTTTGTTAGATATCTTTACCCCCGGTTTTCCTGTTCTTGGTACACTGATTGCCCTCAAACGCGCGCGCACACCCTCATTCCTCTCAAAGAAGGGCTTCTATTCTCAGTCTTTGTGTGAGTGTTTGCTTGTGGTGTGGGTGTTTGTATATCGGATTTCCCTAGAGGAGAGGGTGTGCTGCCGCCGGTGTGTGTGTGTGTGTGTCGAGGAGGGAGGGATCAGCACAAAAAATCAATCTATTTTTCCCGCTCGTGATCCACTTGCTACTACTTACTAGCATTCTCTCTTCAACCTCATACTACTTTTCCTCCTCGTCCACAAACTTTCCCCCCCCTCTGAGCCAGGGAAATTCGATACCCACACATTCGCTCAACCACCCCTCGATCCCCTCCTCCCCCCCATTCGCCCACTCGCTCGTCATGTCGAACCCTCCAAAGACTGCTGGGAAGAAGAATAAGAGCGCTGGCACGGGAGAGCCAAAGGAGAAGAGTGAAGCGCTGGCGTCGTCGTCGGCGTTAATCATCTGTCGGAATAAGTATGTTTGCCCCCCCTCTTCCTTCCCCCCTCACACCCCATACCACAGCATATCACCCCGGCGCCGACCTAAGGATTCATCTGAACTGGAATTGGACTCACCTCTCTCTCTCCCACGCCTCAATTGGGCATATACTGACCTCCGCAGGCATTGGCGCTACATCTCCTCCTTCCACGGCCCCTGGCTCCAACTGCCCCCCGAGGTTCTCACCTCTCTCCTGCATAGTAACCACCACGCCCCCCGCCCGCGCCCAATCGACCCCTCCGTCCTCTCAGATCTCGTACAGATCCGGCACCTCGTCGACGATGCCACAACCCTCGCCGTGCGCGCCGCCTCCTCCTCCACCCCCCGCCTCTCCCGCGAACGCAAGCACCGCATGCGCGAGCTCGCCACCCAGAAACTCTCGCGCGCCTACCACCTCGACGAGATCGCCGCCTCGGTCGCAACAATGCAGAGCGCCAGCTCCCTCGAGGACGTGGCATCCCTGGTGCTCCAGCGCAACCCCGACGACCCCGACGCAAAGTACGTGCACTTCTTCCATGAGAAGATCCCGTCGCGCATGCTCGCAAAATGCACCAGTCTCGCCCCGCTCGACGATGTGATTGCGGAACGCCCCGGGGAGGGCGCGCCGCTGAGGACAAGGGCTGTTACAAAGGCGTTCAAAGACGATCATGTCAGCGCCGCGGCGGACCTGACGGCCGCGCTCAATGTGTGTAAGCCAGCGAGGCATGGGCATGATGTTGTAGTTGCGCGCGGCGGGGCAGCGGCGACAGAGGAGCAGCAGCAGACGCCGTCGAGTCTGGAGGCGCAGCTGCTGTTCCATAGGGCGTCGACGTATCTGACGATTGCGTCGGGGGCGGTTGAGACGGCGCTGGACAGGCCAAAGGCGGGTGCGGCGCCAGTAGATGAGGCGGAGAAGGAGGCGGCGCGGAAGGTCGTCAGGGCGAATGCGAAGAGGGCGCTCAGGGACTTTGTCAGGTTCCTGGGGAACTTTGAGTACACGCCCGGGCTGCCGGCGGAGACTCGAGACGAGTTTGTGAGGAAGGTGAACGAGGAGCTGGGGCGTGGCCGCGGCAGCGAGACTGGCAATACCGAGAAGGACGCCAAAAAGCTCCTCGAGATGTTCTACCGCCAGAACAGCAGCAGCAGCAGCAATGCCTCTGACAGCAGCAATGGCAGCAGTAGCAACAGTAGTAGTAGTAGTAGCGCTCTTACTAGGACTAGTGGCGGAGGTGGTGGTGGTAGTGGGACCGGCGCAAACTCCCGCCCCTTCACCTCCCTTCCGCCGCCCCCTCTCTACCCCCTCTCAACGCTCTTCACCTCGCCCCCGTCCTCTCTGCCCCCATACCCGTGCACCGCGCTCACGACCACCAGCGCCCCTCCGCCCACGCCCACCTCTGCCGCCCTCACCGCCCTCCTCTCCGACTCCACCGAGTCAATCACCTACCACCCACTGCTCACTGACGCGCTCCACAGCCTCCTCCTCTGCCATGTCCTCCTGAGCACGCCACCCAAGGAGCTGCTCCGGCATGCCCACATGGTTGCCCGGCTCGCGCGCGTTTGCGATGGCTACCCCATCTTCCTCGCTGCGCGGTCGCCAGCACGCGCAGACTGGATCGAGGTCCTGCGCAAGACGGGGAACTTTGTCGGCATTGAAGGAAGCTGGGAGGCGCTGTGTTCGCCGGCGCCCTTGGGCGGTGGTGGTGGCCCGCAGGCGCCAAAGAGGTGGGCGCAGGAAGAGGGGGGGAAGGAGTATCCAGTGGTGACGGAGCGGGCGGGGTGGTTGGCAAGGTGGGTGAAGGATGTGACGAGAAGGGAAAAGGCGAGGTTGGAGGATGGGACGGAGGTGGTGGTGGTGCCACAGCAGCAGAGGAGGAAGAAGGCGCCGGCGAAATCTGGGGCGGTGGTTGTTGGAGCGACGGTGAGCGCCGCTTCGTAGACTGGCTTCGAGAGGGATAATGAGGGATGAGGGGTCTGGCTCTGTCTGGCTGGCTGATGCCATTGAAACTTTTAGAATTCAAAGATCGGGATTTAGGGATTGGGGATTTGGGACTAGCTGCGAGTAATAGGTGCGCAAGTGAGTGAATATGTTGACCGAGTGATAGTATGTGACCCAAACCAAGATAACCTTGCCAGGCACGTTTCTGAAAAACAGTGGAAAATGTCCCACGGTATCCTTGAAGAATCCAAGGTATCTCTGCCTTACTCCAGTTGTATTTCATAGGTGGAGTGATTTGACCGCACCAAGGGTGCGAGTGATTATCTGTGACTATTGCTCTGGTATTGGAAGGCAATAGCCTAGTTACATAGCAATGGCGATTCATCATTTGAAACCCGATTGGACGCCTCCGAGGGAGTTATTTAATCACATGTAATTTGTGGTTTTGCTACTGTAGTTAGCAAAACAGCTTCCAATAAACAATAAAGGATTGACCAACCCCCCTTACCACTATAGTATCTTTTTTTATTGGGTTTCTATACTGCGCTGTAGATAAATAGTGCCTTCTGTTTTGGGTAGGTAGACTAAGCTTAGGTTATTGTATCCTACTAACACAGCCTGTTTTAAGTCGAACAAGGAACCGCGGCCAATGGTCTGGTAATCTTCGATAAGAGCTTATAGTTGAGCATTGTTTAGAGTCTCCAGATCATCGATTGCCTTTTTTGTATGAGTAGGGCACATCTCTTTTCTTTGAGGAGGGCCCAGGATTCATAGGTCAAAAAGGAGTCCAACCGAATATTAAGAGTTATGACTAAAAAAGGTTGCAGCCTAGATTTCGGGCTGCTCTTGATCTCTCTCTGGACGAGGTGGAGGGGAGCTTCTGCACGCCAAGATGTAGCGAGTGATATTATATGAAGGAGTCTGTTAGATGGCTGCTGCATGTCAGATAAACCTGACTGGTGGTGGTGATGAAGAAAGAAGAGGGGAAAATAAGACAAGTTAAAGGACTCTGTCTGTGTTCAGCCAAAAGAATTCGAAGGCATTAACCAAATATTTAGAAGGTTAGTTGTCATCTAGAGTAACAACACCACGTGGTCACTGGTGCTAGAGTCTCCTGGTTACATCAAGTATCGGATCTTTATCCAGCGGTTCTCAGCCAAATGCAACGCCATTATTCAGGCCCATTAACACTGCTTCAAAGTAACCAGCCTACTCTACACCAGTTCCGTTAGAGATGAGAAATAACTAACGATCTGATTCGAAATCTCTGCTACACCGAGGACAGGTGATAGGCACCACTACCTGCACAGAGCTCGCTCGCGCAACTCTAGGCCTCAGAGCACAGTTGATTAATCCTCCTTTAGCCACACTGCACTACCTCGTTTATTTTCTCCGCTTACCGACAGGTTAGTACTTATCACGGGCAACCGCACCAAATTAGACACAGGGCTCAATATCCATGCCCCAGGCGCCGCCTAAATCAAGTATGCATAGATTCAGTACGTGCAGTGTGGTAAATCAGACAGATGGGCATGAGGTGCGTATTCTACACCGTTAGAACACAAAGGCCCAGCGGCCAGCACCACGAATCTGATCACACCTCTTTTCCTCAGCTAAAGCTACTCAGTATTAGATGCATAAACCAAAGGATCTCTCACAACAGAGATAACAGAGGCGAAGAGTATCCAACGGCACCCAAGCCACGGGGAGTCTGCCGGCCAAAGGAATTTCCCCTGTTCATATCGGACTGTTGAAGGCTTCAGTATTCATTACATTGTCTCAGATCCGCTTTTGAGCACCAGGGCCTATGCATGTACAGGATATCACCAGATGATATAGAATATATATGTTTCGGGCACTTAGTACGAGGTTATCTATTCATACTACATTGAACACTTGGTCACTTGCAGGGATGATTTTGAGAGGGAAGTGCTATCACTCTGTTCACCAGCTTGAACTGTTAATGCTTCGGTCTCTATACCATTATTAAATGGAATGTAGTCTCCCCTATGACTATCCCGAAGCCGGTGACGCCCCTTCTTCCAAAAGCAAACTACCAACTAAGGAGCACAGCACCTTGTGGGTTTCAGAGAGCAAAGAATATACTATATACTTACCCCGAAGGCGCCCCGAACCTTTCGAAGAAAACAAGACATATATATTATAATATACGGGTACTCTGAGGCCATTGGCTCGGGCGATCGTATGGAAGACAATTTGTTGAAAGACTTGTGGTTTAAATCACAGAATATCACTCGATTTTATAGACTATGTTAAATCTATCAGCCTCCTGGGAATCTCATGTCACGTTGAGGTATTTATAATGAATTTCGGCGCCTATAAAATACAGACGCTGGTTAAATAACTACTTAACCATATTTTTCCAGAAACACAGCGTTGCTTGCACTAAGCCAGAAAGGCCAACACAAGTCTACCATGGTGCTCACCACTGGAGGCTACATACCTAACAAACTCATTTAGGAGTTGCCAGTAAGGTAACCAGGCGCGAATGTTCCTGTTGTTGGGATAATCCTATCTAACCGAACCATACTTCATGATTAGTGCCAAATCAGGCTCAATGGAATACCAAGCTAGTAATAACTACATTTCTATACGTTATTTCACATATTATTCCAAAGGCCACGCACTAGATACTCAAACCTCCACGCCAATATAGGATTATATGATTTATATAATTATAAATCAGTACTTGATCACTAAACTAAACAGCAATTTAGGGCAGTAGGGTAGCAAAGGCTGCAACCATTAATTAAAAAAAATACTTAACCAGCCAAATAGAGTGTAGAATCCGCCTCGATCAGTCTATTTACGCTACTGGCTATTCTATGGGTTCGATTTTTGGTTTTTTCTGATACTTCATAGAATAGAAATTTTATGTAATCTTGAAAAAACAAAGAACCTGGACACAATACAGCTGGGTCGGGAGGGAAAGGTTCTCAATGATAAGAACAAACTGGACAACATAAATGCATTTTGTTCCGAGATCACACGGCAACTCCGAAAACTACCATGACAACTGCAGCATGGAAGAAAGAAAGCACTCAAAATCTTGCATAAACTACAAACAAGCGAAGAAATAGCCAATGGGAGGCGAATAGGGAAGAAATACCTTCGATCATGGGTTATCACTCATATACCACTCATGGGTGCGTTGACACTTATATTATAATATAAACAAGAGTATATATAATAGATGCCTCGAATTTCTTTAAATATCCGATATCGCTGAGCTCAAGCTCCCGCCCTCTGCAGTTGACAAGGTCATGGGCATCTCTTTTGCTTGGATGCCGTTGGAATTATGACGTAGTGCCCTAAAACAATATTCAATACACTAATAGTAAGTGTATTGACCGATTTCTAACTTTTCAGACAGGAATACCTCCTGATCGCTACAGATATTGATAACAAAGGTTCCCTGTTAATTGCCCGTGAATTCACGGGTAGGGTAGATACTCAATCATAGTAGCGGCCAGAGTTGGTTTATCCCTTGTACCGTAGAATTATATTTATAATTACATGATGTATTATACTAATATCTCCCTTTTGTAGATTCCCATACACCAGTTAATATCTAGGGACTAAACCCTAACCCTGGCCCACCCCAGTTTGAAATACGCCCACGACCACTCTTAGCGGAATAGAAATAAGTTGTGCACATATACTCAGGGCTTCCCCACTTGAGAAACCTTAATTAACGATACCATGGACGTCAGTAGGCTTAGGCTTACATGTAGTCGTGCCGGCGTGGCCCGAGCGCCAACCATTTCACTCGGTTCCCACGAGTACTGAGTGACTGAGTGACTGAGGTGACCCGGGTTGAATACTGGTTGGCATTCCAACTATAAATGCACTTGAATCTAAGTCGAAGGGGTGTGTTCTTTTTTCTTGTTGCGCGCGTCAGGCCACGACATAGCACATACACCCCCGGATCCCTCGACATTGAAACTCCCATTGATTCCAGAAGACCTCTCTATCCTCAGGGTTACGATTCAATAATTATAAGCAATGAGCTGGGCTGATGATATTCTGAGTTTGAGCATCTCATTGCGGTCCTGGTTGTTTGGGCCTGGACATGAGAGTGGGGTGGATCGGTTTGAGGGCTGGGTTTTGGTTTTAAAAACGATGAAGATGCTAGGGAAGGAGACATGGAAACAGATTTCATGACCTCTAAATCCAATTCGTAAGTACTGAGTTTGTGGAGGGGAGTTTACAATTTTTTTTTTTTTTTTTTTTTTGCTGACTTTCCGATACTATAGAGGTTGTCTTTCTTGATATCCGCCCTCAGGCACGGGTTTGAGGATTAGAGGAACTTCCAGGGCTGGCCGGCTGGGAGCTTGAAACGATTAGGAGTAAGATAGATGTGTGAATATCGGTCCAAGTGTACGTGTGTTTCAAAAATATATAGACATAGAGCGATTGAGTATGTACTTTAACTTTTGACATGACGGCCGGAGTTCGAGTGAATTTTGGTCAGTGTTCTGGGATGCTGCGCATACATAAATACTAAGGCAATATTGTTCGACGTGTAGCTGTATCAGTATGTACATGTAGTTTATACCTCTGGTGTAACCGCAATAAACTTATGCGCCGCGGGAGGTCAAACCAGGTCATTCTAACGGTCCTATATATAAACACTTAAGGCCAGACGGGACCTATGAGTTACAAGTAATAGCCAGCTATGGGACCCGCTGCCGAGTTTGAAATGTCGCAGATCCAAAGGTCATTACCACTGGAACTCATGTTCAGGTTCCCCCCTCCCCTGAGTGATACCTAACACTGATACCGATGCAAGATGCAATGGAAGCCGTTTGGATACCTGCCTGACAGCCAGCTGCAGGTACATGTACGACCGGGCCCGGGATATAGGATGGAAGGCGATAAGATCACCACCCCGGTAGTTGCACATGATGTATGTTCTACTAATGGCCAATGGCTCATGGAAAAATGTGGATTGGTAGGTTCACAGGTAGGCCAAACTGATCTACGCCACAAAATTGAAATGTCATCGGTTGATTATGACGTTTCTTCCTTTTGACAACTGGTACCGTTTCTCTTTTCTCCTGATGATCATCCACGTGGACCCCATTCCAAGAGTCGGACTCCTTAGAGGTCACTCCATGGATCCAGTACGCGTAAGTACCAGTCTTGCAGCCTGAGAGAGCCGACATGGCCACGTTGTACCCGTGCAATTATTTGACCGGGTAATGAATGTATGGCTGGGTCAGGCCGGGTGGTGTTTGCATAGCAACGAGTCATCATTGCAGGGGACTAAACCTGATTTTTTTGAGATATGGATGGATGCTGATATGATTGACTGACAGGTCGTCCCTGAAGGGG